TGGCCTACACGGATTCAGTTTGTGGAGGCACTGGCTGCACTTTCCTGTCTTCACAGAACCGACATGGGCCGGAAGATCGAAGGGACTAAAACTACGCTGGCGAAGCTCCTACACAATGTCACAAGTGCAGAGCAGCTGGAGTGGCTCTTCAACAACTTGAGGTACAGGCAATTCTTACCACATCGAGTTCGTCTGCTGCTGCCTTCAGGCACTACTGCCAACGAAGCACTCCATGCAGAAATCAACTCATGGTATCGACAGACTCAGCAGATGCACCGCAGCACATTGGTGCAAAAGCTGCAAATCCAGCAGCTGGGCAAACTATTGGCCCACAACATTGCTTTGCACAGCCCCACAGCAAAGCAGATGCCAAGCTCTCATGTCCTCTCACAGCGAGTTGGAAATCCTCTATGGTCAGCCAAAACCTGGCAGTCGGACATGGCGCAACAAGCATCAACCTTGCCATTGAAAGCTCGCAGAAAAACAGAGAAGGAGCTGGTGGCAGAAGCAGCTAAAAAGCGTCCAGCAGCAGCTCCAAGGCCGAAGGCGCGTGCGAAGCGCACGCCATTTACTTTGGAGCGCAAACCCGGTCTCCTAAGGAGCGGGGTGCGCAAAAGAAACTCGATGTGACAGGTGAAAAAGAATTGCGTAAACACTGCTTGCTGTGCTTGTGCAAACACAAACAACACTATCTTTGGACATTGGCACGCTGGATTAGACTTAACCCTTCTACACTCTGCGCGCTCAATACACAAGCAATTAGTATGTACTCTCAGCGATCAATATGTTGCTTTCTCCCGGCCCTACCTGCTTGCTTGCCTGGTATAGAGGGAACCTAATCTCTATGATTTGCTGGATAGTTTCTTGGCATCGCGCTCCGCATCTGGTTCTCCAGTTTCAAGTCCAGTTATGGAACTGGAGCAACAGCCTTGCTATTTAACGTCTGCGAAGTATTATTGTGCTCTTTTGCTGACAGGAAAAATGGGCGGGTGCTGGATGTTGCACTTAGAACCAAAGCAAATGTTGTCTTGAGAGCTCCCACGACTCATTGTACCTATTTTTCCATGCCTCGGGGGGGGGGTCCATAAGATTGATTTAATCAATTATTTGAGGTTTCTGAGGTGCGTCCACCCCGTCACTTAACTTGCTAAAGCAAGAGCAACTCCAGCTAGCTAAGGCTAGCTTTCGTGACAAGTTGAATGCAATCCCAGACACCTGTGTTGGAGACAACTGGTCCAAAGTTGCCTCTCGGGATATGTGTGCCGCCTGTGCCACCTGCAAGTACAAAAGTTCTCAAGACTTAGAAGTCATTGACAGTCAGCAGGTCTCTCTGACAGCTGGGTTCAAAAACCCATGGGTTCCGATCGCCTGTCACATTCTTGGCCTTCATATTCTGTGTGCCGTCCTTTGCATTAGAGGAACTGACTGGCAGTGCGTCTTTGGGGGAGTGGCAATCTTCCGAGATATTTGCAATGTGTCGTTCCTTTTGAACAAAGCATCTTAGGGTGGAAACCATCGCTACTAGAGCTGGAAAAAAACAAAAACTTGTACGAAAATCATGATCCCAACAGCAAATCGTGCGGTTTGCAAGCGGTCTGACTAGGCTGGAGGCCATCGCTAGTAAGTTGGAGGCCATTACTCTTAGGGCGGAGGTCATCTCTACTAGGTTGGAGGCCATCACTACTAGGTTGGAGGCCATCGCTCTTACCAGCAGTGTCCCTCTCCTTCTTCTGACTTGTCTCTGTCTCGAACGTCAGCACGTCATTCACAACCTGAGAGAGGCTCAGGTTCGCAAGCACTCAGTTGGCAAAGGGCATTCTGGCTGCAACAAACTGGGTTGCAGGAGACACACCAGAATCGCAAGGAATCTGATGGAAAGAATAGGGGACGTTGGGGGTTGTTCTGCAACTGAATGTGCTTGAAGCTCTCAGCACGGAACTGGCCGTTGAGAGTCAATGCAGTCCACGATGTGAACAAAGATATCATCGTCTCAGATATCATCGTTCTGTGTCTTCCCACACACCACGTTTGAGTCTTGACAAAACATGGAGATGCCTGATCAACGCCAACAGTAGACTTCAAGCGGGTCGGCACCACTCTAGTAACTTTGTGTCTGAGTTTTCAAGTAAGTGATCACGACCAGTTTCTATGCTGAGGCAATGACAGCCTTCAACCTTATCGGGGTCAATCCCAACTACAGGCGCACAGATTGCAGAGTCTAGACACACCTGACTGGACCCAGGCCGTTTGGATATCATCTGTGCAGCCCAGATTGCACTGTTGTTAGTTCCTAGCTTTGAATGATTGGAAAGGTTCAGCTCCGTACATTCACGAAGCCAAAGCCTTTCTCCGTGTTCCACGCCTGCCAAGCTTGGATTTGCAATGAAAAATGCAGAGCATGTCGAGCTAAAGAACCCGAAAAAAGCTGGACTTTCATCACCTTCATGGAACTTCAAGGCTTGCTTGCATTCTCTCTCTTATTCGCTGCCTTCACAACCCCTTGGTGACGTACTCCACTTGGCAAAACAGCACCTTCCACAGACTGGTCTCGTGACAGGGTATGGTCATTATTATCCCACACAAGCAATAGTGTTGGCGTTGTTTTTATTGTTGCTCTTGCTTTTGCTCTTGCCACTGCTTTTGTTGTTGTTGCTGTTGGTCTCTGGATTCACCCCACCCTGCCTGGTGTCGGAAGTGGTGCCGCAGCGGCAACAACTGATGGAAATCCCTCCACACCAGCCACACCAGCCACAAGACCTTCTGTGCCCGTCATTGTGGCTGGCATCATCCCTGGCATGCCTGAAACCAGCCACTTGGAGTCAACTAGAGCGAAAAGAAACCATCGGTCTGAGTCTGTCTGCGACATGCTAAGCATGTCAAACTCAGTCAGTAGGCTAACTTCCATAGGGGACAACTAACTTCCTAGGGGGACAAAGAACTAAGAAACTTTCAAGTATTTGGAAGTTCCTCTTGCCTCCACAACCTCCAACACCTCCACAGCCTCCAGGTGGCTCACGAGGGGCACTGCCTTGCAAAGGAGCCACAAGTGAAGGAAGGAACCTGGAAAGGCCCTGTCCTTTGTCATTATCAACTAAGGTATCTTCGAGGATCTTATAAAACTTGGCCAGATCTCCACCTTGCCCTTCTGTCTTCATGTTGCTTGTCGAATCCCCCGCATTTCCAAGTCAGTCCCATGCTTAGAGGACTTCAAGTCTAAGTTTGAGGATTTCAAGCCAATCAAAAAGATCAGATCACTGGTAGAATGATTGAACCATGTTGAATCTGGCAAGGAACGATCTTCCAGAACCCATTGTATATGTTGAAAGCCTATTTCCTGATACGTCGGAGCTGGGATCCCGCCAGTGGAGTTGCCTCCGAGCACGTTCTTGGCTTGCATCTGACCAGGTTTATTCTTATTCCTCAGAGGCAGCTGACAACAGGATCTTCAGACAAAACTGACGTGTCTGCAGGTCTCCATAGAAAGTAATCAGCACCAAAGAGGTACTTCCGTGGCTGACTTAGCTAACTGGATGCTGGAGTACATCCGGAGTACATCTTCCAAGGCGCTGCTCCATGTCGAAGCTCAAGACATCTCCCTTTGCGGGCTGCCTATCTCCCAAGCAATCCTGCGACGACCCCGCGTTCCGTCCCGGTGGTACTGATTTGATCGTCGGAGTTATAGCCAGTCTCATGGAAGAAGCGTTGTCATGCTTCGTCTACACGTCTACATGTTCCATTTAGCTTTTCGCGGGCATTCTGCTTCGCATTGGCAACATCATGATGCTTCAGCCTTCTTTTTGAACAGCTCAACACAGCAACAAAATGAACCGGCAAGAAGTCGCGCGGGAGACCTTGATATGAACGAAGATATCTGTCCCGCCAAAGTCAATGAATCCCCAACCCTTCGCACCTGAACTGTCGCCGTAATATCTGTCGTTCAGTGACAGTGCTTTTTCTCTAGTAGTGAACCTTGCTCCTAGTAGCGATGCCAGGAGCCCCTAGTAGCGTCCTTGCTACTAGTAGGAAGGCCAGGAGCCCCTAGTAGCTTCTTGTTCCTAGCAAAAAGAATTAGCACTTGTTTTTTCTCAAGTTCAGTGCTGACTCTAGTAGCGTCCGATCGCTCCTACTAGTACGGCCAGAGCCCCTAGTAGCGAACCTTGTTCCTAGTAGCGATGCCAGGAGCCCCTAGTAGCGTCCGATAGCTCCTAGTGCGTGCCTCCCAACTTTCACACTCAAATGCCATTCAGTAGCCGTTGAATGATTTGCATACGCCCTGGAGGGACATAGCGAGAATCTCCTCCTGAGATGCGGAGTTCAGTAAAGGTCTCAAAGTGTCCAACGAACTGAACTGTCACTGTGCCTGATCTTATTCATTCATCTTCCGTTCTTAAACAAGGAGGAATGCGAACTCATTCTGCCGAGGGTCTTCGACTTCTGGCAAGGATGATGGGATTTGATAATTGAGGCAATCACCCACTCTGAAAAGTGTGACCGGTCATGGACAAATAGAGTCTAAATTGATCTTGAAATCCTGCGATCCTTTGAGTATGTCTCTGAGGTATTCAAACCGCGAGCTTCTTGCCTGTTTCTCTGTTCAATTCTCTTCCAAAGTCTGATTACCACTAGCGAGTCAATCGGATTACATGGGATTTTCATGTTTGCTGATGTTGGGCCAGGAGCGGTTGCCTTCGCCCACTTTGGAGCCCCAAAACCTCTCACCCTCCGGTGGGGTCCCTCGTTGCCACAGCCAGGTGGCTACGAAGCTGAGGCAACTTGAGCCAGCAGCTGCCCAACCACTTCTAACTAATTGATTTTGAAAGAAACAACCAAATGCCCAGAAACCATGGTTTATTCCAACTCCCTTCTCTAAATCCTGCCGTCGTTCTGCTAACGTGTTCTAAATAGTTCTAAAACTATTCTCAGTGGTGGACACATTCACTTCAGGGCTATCTTTGCTTCACAACTGCCAACAACCCCTTCTAGGGCTTGATATCTATCGCCTCAATTTCTGCTTCAGCACCAGCCCATCGAATCAGTTCTCGAGCCACAAAAGCACTCACCTTAGCGAAGGATCAAAAATCGCATATACATATACATATACATATATATATATATACATAGGTTCCTTGTGCTTTAAGGGTAAACTGACATGTGTAGTTTCATGGTTGGATGATTTACGCTTTGCAACCGGCATACCATGCATACCAATCTTTGCGCTGAAGGAGCTTGTAGCATCCGTTTCACTTCATGTTCAAAGCATCAGGACAGTCTTAACCAAGAATCAACCCATCAACTAATCGCGCGGCCGTTTGGGTCCCTCGCTGCATTAACCTCACAGGTGATAACCTTGCCACCGCCTCCAAGTCTCCTGCCACAAGGTCGGGATCGCAAGAAACGATCCCGATACAGAAATGGGACGAAACCTATCAAGTACACACCCCGAGGTTCCTGAGCCTTTGCACCATCAGCAAGGCTGAGAATCCAACGAAGCATCCGAGCCTCAGGATCAGAATGGGATCGGCAGTCTATTCTGTTGAGATTTCAAGGTGGAAATATGGGCCACACTGCTGTGAGCCACTGTCACCACAAAAGTGGCCAACACTGCTGTGGTCTTCCAGGATTGGTACAGTAAACCTTCGAACCCAAGATCCACATTTCCTTGCCATTTCTAAGCTCAAGACTCCAGAATGCGATCTCCTGGTCGGAGAACAGCCTAGAGGCTGCACGTCTCAGCTTGACAATCGGCCAACTGCTTCTGATTTGGATAGGATCCTCAACCCAACCTGCTGCGGCTACCACAGCCGTTCTACTGCTTCAGGCTGTGTTCTAGAAAAAGGAAGGGATCTGCATGAATGCTACAACTCCACCTGTTCCCCCCCGGGGTGTCCACCGGAGTCCCCAGAGCTGTCACCGGCCTGTAGAAGGCGAGCCTTGCTCCCCCCAGCCACCTTCAGCCATTCCTTCTCACCTGCAAAGCGCTTCACTGTCGCCAGTAGTGCAGAGAGATCTCCGCGAGGGACCCGCGTCACGATGAAATCCAACAAGGAGAACTCCTTGGACTGGTGCACTCGGTCACGTCGCACTCGGAATGGAGGCTCTGAAGTGAATCCAGAGACCTTGGCGAATCGCAGATGTGCTTCTTTTGCCAAAGAACTTCCAAAACAAAAGGAACTGACTAGAAGAGACTAGAAGATCATTTTGTCTACAACATTCTACAACCTACTGGTCCTAGTGGTCAACCGTTCTGTCCTGGAAATGGACGAAAGATTCCAAGCGAGCAACCTCCATTGCCCACATCACGCTGCACCAAACTTCCCCCAATCTGTCTCCTTCGATGGGACCAGACAGCAGCTGAAGCGCTTCTTGCCAGGCTCGGTCATGGCCCATTTTTCGAGCTAGGCAGCTCCATGGACCGGGACCAGCTTTGAGTTCTCTCTTCTCTCTGGCCCTCAATAGCCACCATAGACCCAGTGGCCAAGGACATGCAGTAGCAACAGCGCTGTAGCTCAAAGCATCTGGCGTCAAGGGGAGGTTGGATCTGGTCTGGTCTTCAAACTGCTCGAGCAGGCTACATGCCAATTGCCAGCAAGTTGCGCGCTCTAGGGCTGTCAGGGTTGCATTGAAGGCAACCACATTTGGAGATGGTTGTGAAGCAGATATCATTTGAGACCAAAGAGCCAGGGCGCGTTGCCACCCTGATTCTACTTGCCCGCAGGCAACAATGGCAGAGCTGTAGGAGAACGCATTTGCTTTTTCTGGTAGCTGTTCTGCTTCAACTAGGAGATTTAAGACCATTTCCCACAAGGATACGCGTTCACATGCGGTCATGGCAGAACTGTATGAAACCACGTTGGGCTCCAGATGCGCAGCTCTCGGTGCCTCCAAAAGTGCCCAAAGCGCAAGTTGCCACTTTCCAGCACCGCTGTAGGCAGATCCTAGAGAGCTCCAAAACACCACGTCTGGTGGCCAACTTCGCATGCTCAGCTCATCTAGCAACAAAGAAGATACTCTCCACGCAGAGGCCTTGGCACAAACACTGGCTGCTGCAGAGAAAAGGACCAGATCTTGTGGCCCTGCGAAAAGCAAACTCAGGGCTCTCTCCCAGTCACCAGAATTCCGTCTCAACCTGGCGATCGCAGACGTGCGACGGCGGAGGCTTTCCTCAGGACCGTGATGGCTTTCCTCAGACTGCACTCTGGGACTCGGCAGTGGGCTCTCACTCCGAACTGGGCCCAGAGCGTCTGTTGGCGACCGATTTCGACCACCAACCCAATCTGAGCGACCTCGTCTGGCATAGCACACTCCTCAGAACCGAATTTTCTCAGAACCGTCGAGATCCGCATTGCTTTTGAAACAACCATAAAAAGATAAAGTTGCATCATATGGAATCTGTCCAAGACGCTGGAGAGTCGACTAGCAAATCCTGCCAGTGAAGGCCATTTACTGGCCATTCCATGGGCATCATGTGGCAGTGTGGCGAGAGCATGTCCCTGTGGAAAAAGTATATAATCCGGACAAAAGGTCCACAAAGGGGGGAAATGTCGCGATGTAGCTTGCAAATCTCGAGAGTCTCTACAGTGTGTGGGCATTTGCCTATTCTGATGAATGCTCAAGTGCCGCTGGAATGTATATCCCCAACAGCCAGAAAAAAGTTGGAGGAAACTCCAAACCACAAAAAGAAGTTGGAAGGCTTTCCTGTCTTTCTTGAGCAACGACTGAACTTGAGGACTGTCAAAGAATGTCAAAGATATGCGCCTTTACTTTTTAGTTGAAAGTTATTGACCCTCTAAGAAAAACCGCTCCTACAATGAGTTTAGGCCCATCTCTTATGCTTTGCCAGTTTTTCACCTGACTTGTGGCTGGAGGAGTCACCACAACCCTTTGACCTTTGCCACTTTGCCTGTCATTTTGCTAAGTGTGCCACTTCCAAGACTGAGACCTGAACGCGTTCACGCCAAATGTCCGGCACCGCCGAGCCGGGCGGTTCTTGCAAAACGAATCGAAGAAATCGATCGATACAAAACGGATCCTTGAGGATTTAATGATTCGTGGACCGAGATATATCATATATCTAACCTGTTGGAAGAGAACTGGAGTGAACATCTGACTGCGAGTTGCCTCCTCCTGCAGACGATGTATTTCAGCCTGGCTGAAATGGTCCAAGCCACATCAGAAACAAGTTCAAGCTCTGAACTGCATACCCTCCGGGCTGAACTGCATGCCAGATGCCATCATGTTCTCCGCGGAGCAGCATGGGCAGTCTGCATGCCCTGCAAAACCAATCAATGCGCCTGTGTGCCAACTTCAAGTGCCTGCCACAATCCAGCTTCCCAAGAATCCCCATTGTAGATTTGCAAGGGTTTCGTCGCGCAATAGATAGTCCCCAAACCCAAAAGTGGCCGTAGTATAAAGTCCAAATGGTGTTGATTTATATAATCAGATTCAAAGAAGGTGGAACGAACATTTGCAAAGGATGTTCTCGTGTTTGTCTGTCTATGTCTGGGGAAAAAGTGCCACTTGTTGCAGCCACCCCATGCTTGGTAAACAACACTGGCGTATAGATTTCGCGGTTTCTGTGGTCAGAATACTGTTGTTTGTAGGCATGACTTCCGTCAAAGAACCGATGCAAAACCGCAAAGGCGCCTGGTCAAACTGGTCGTTGGCCCATTGATCAGCCCTGAAAGACTTGGGCCAATGGGCAGAAGACCAAACACCACTTGGGAAGACACATACACAAATGCAGGGAAGTAAGAACTGGTGGCTGCTTTGGCGCGCCGGGATACCCTTAGCTTACTTTGGTCATCTGCCTGTGTCATACAATCATCATTCATCAGCCATGGGTTTCCCGTAGTATGTCATGCCAGCAGTGAGAAGTCAATAGTACCGCAAGCCCAACATCCAGATTGTCGAACTGCTGGCCAGGGCATTGACCGCTCAAGCCATACGCTATGCGAATCCTCTGTAATGCAAAACACATGAGCCGAACCGCCTCAGCTCTTCTCGCACTCGTGCGAGATCATCCTCTGCTAGCTTCAGATCAGACCTGAAGCTTTGATCCTTCCAACCTTGCTTTACAAGTTTACAACGCCAATAGCAAGATTAGAAAGCGCTGCACCGATGCTGAGCATGCCACGCATATTTAAGAATGACAAGTATGGTAGACGGTAGACTGCTGTGATGATGCATCATGGTGATCAATATGACTGTCCTCGAGCATTTATCAACATACAGCCTCTACTAGGAACAAGAAGCTACTAGGGGCTCCAGGTATCGCTACTAGGAGCAAGGATGCTACTAGGGGCTGGCTCCTTAAATGGTCGATATGGATTCCGTTTTCGCGCAGCAAGCGCCGGCGCCGTGCGACCAGTTGGTGACTGGTGACCGGCGACCGGCACGCGACCGGTTTGTTACAAACGCCAAAGTGGTATGGCAAAGGGTTGCAAATGGTGCAATGCAAATAGAGGATTGGCGAAGTGCTCAAAGAAAGGTGCAAAAAGTGACACCAAGGCGCTTCAGCTGATCTCGGCGCTCACTGGTGGCCTTGGAGGAACTACCTAGCTATATGCAAACACCACCAACACGAATCACCTCACCTTGCAACAAACCCCTGAGGCCACTGAGGACGTTCATGTTTACATGCAGCAGTGGCGATTGCAGTTCCTTCTAGAATCTTGTAAAGTGTCTCCCAGCTTTTGGGCTTGGACTGCACAGTGCTCGCAGACTAACATTGGGGTCCAGACCGTAGCAGAGACATGTTCCAACAAATCCATGGGTGAACCTGCAGGTTCAATTAATTTGAGGCAATCGTCTTCTACATCTCGTGGCCACGTCTCTTGGTCTGGGGTGTGTGTTGAGCAGTCGTCTTCCACACCTTCCAAAGCTCGCAAGGACAAAGCCTTGCTCTGCCAAGGCACCTGGAAACTTTCAGTGCTTGGAGTTGTTTGAGGTTTCTCCCCGATAGCATATTCCCACTTTGTTTGGGTATATAGCATTGTTGTAATCTTAGACATGTCATGATTTTCTGTGATTTTCATGAGCAGCAGTTATTTGTGTGGACATGCAACTTGCTGCAAGCCTCTTGGTCTGCCGTGCTCTCTTTGGACGAACCAGGTCCGTCTGTCCTAGCGTGCTGTCGGATGGTGCTGGTACCACTAACATCTGAATTGCTTGTGGCGCTGACCGTCGCACCCGACATCTGGTAGGACACTGTATCCAAAGGGCGCATCATGTGTATATCAGTGCAACGGTTGAATGAAAAAATAAAGAAGCAAAAGAAAGAAGTGGCATCATCATTTTGCAGGAGGCAGAAGGCAGAAAACAAACAGCAACAGAAATGAACAATGATGCAGCAATGAAGGAAAATGATATGCAGGTGGAATTGTCCTAGCCATCGGACTGCCCTGTTGGGACAGTAGATCTTGCAGCTGGCGGTGGATCTTGCGCGCCACGCGGAAAGAAAGGCCAACACTGTCATCAATTAATAAGCAAGGAGAGGTCAATGCACACCAAGTGAAAAGAAAAGAAACTGTTGTCCAGAAGCAAAAGGCTGAGCCTGAAGGCATTTGTGCGTCTGCATAGCCAGGCGGTTGGCATTTTCTTCCTGAGTTCTGCAGGGGGGGATGTTCAAGAAGGTAAGAAAAATGCATGTTTCACGACTTCAATGCGCACTGCGAGCTAGACACTGTCGTTTCCTGTTCTACTTTCAAATTAAAGGTGAGGCTTTTACCCTGAGGGCTGTCACAAACTTGTCTGGAGAAAGTCGATCAAAACATTGCAACAACTGAATGTGTGTTGTTTTTTGCAGGTGACTAGGCGTCTCACGAGCCAATCGCGGGCCTTTTGGAAAGTCTCACGCAATCGCAGGACATTGTTTCAGCCGGGCGGGGCAGAAAAACAAAAATGTTTTCTAAACTCAAATTTGGAGCAGTATGACAACTCAAAAGTTAGCCACAAAAAATAACATAGCAGACTATTACCTCATGCATTCCACAAAATCCTCACTACCTCCTATATCGGCATCTCATTATTGCCCGTTGATATATGTCGTCAGGTGAGTGAGTATGTTGGTTGTTTGAGGTGTGAATGGATGAAGGAGAGAGAAAGAGACTTCTTCACAAAATCCGCCGACCCCACACCGTGGGGTGAGGCGTGACTGTCGATGTTAGCCTTAGCCTTAAGCCTTAGCCTTAGCCTTAGCCCTAGTCCTTAGCCTTAGACCTAGACCTAGACCTTACCTCCCCTACCCCTCCGGACCCTTGTTGCAGTTACGAAAAACGCGCCCTGAAAGCAACCTGGATTGTCCAAGAATCTGCCATCCCAATTGATTTACATCTTGGGGCACCCTCTCGACCCGCGCGGGAAAATAAGCACGGTCCAAAATGGTCCTGGGCTCGAATCCCGGGCTGGTCGCGGCATGGTCCGGCCAATGCCCTTGCTTTTTTTGTAGATTTTATCACGTTTTCTGTTGGTTTATGAGATGTTCAAAGGCTTTTCTGGCATTTTCCTAGGAATGCTCTAGGCTTTGTCTTTTTGGGTACCTGCTTTGGTGGTGCTGGGTTGGGTCTAAATTGGTAAACCTGGGAGGTACCCAAAAAGTCGACTTTTTGGGTACCTGCTTTGGTGGTGAAGGGTTGGGTCTAAATTCTTGGGCAATGATCGGAGTTCATGCAAGAGCTGACGTCCGATGGTAAATCTGGGAGGTACCCAAAAAGTCGACTTTTTGGGCACCTGCTTTGGTGGTGCTGGGTTGGGTCTGCACTCTTAAGGCTAAGGCTAAGGCTTAAGGCTAAGGCTAACATAGAGCAAGGCTAGCGCTAAGGTTCTATCCCTTGGGGGTCGGCGGCTGCAGGCGGTAGCCTGGTAAATCCGGGCGCCGGCCACGAAGCCCGTGGCATGCCCGGAGGGCCTTCGGTGGTAACCGAAGGTTATAGACGGTCGCGCCGGCTGCCGCCGACCCTCGGTCCCAAAACGGGGGGACGACCGGTTCACTGAAGCCCCTGTAATTTACAGTGTATCGTGTGTGTGGGGTATAAAAAACACTGTGTTTTACAGGGTTTATTGCGCATATCGAAGTACGACGGGGGGAAAAAGGAAAAATGCAAAAATGCTGTGTTGTTCAAGGGTGGTGTCGGTAGTGCGCGCCGGGCGGACAGGCTTAATCGACATTTTGTGGGTAGAGGCCCTCCAGACGACTTACATTCCTGACATATCCTCAACATGGGCCCAAGATAGCCAACATATCCCCAACATATGCCCAACATAGCCTCCAAGATGGCTCAACATAGGGCCAACATGGGGCCAACATAGGGCCAACATAGGCCCAACATAGCCCAACCCAGGCCAACATAGGCCAACATGGGCCTAACATCGGCCAACATAGGCCCAACATAGGCTCAACATGGGCTCCAGATGTGCCCAACATAGACCACAGGGGCCCCACTTGGCCCAACCTAGGGCCAAGATGCGCACCAAATAGCTTAACTTTGCTCCATATAGGGCCCTCGTCTCCGACGCG